TTAAATTATATGAAACGCATACAACGCATTTTTCTTTATTATCGATTCATTATCTATTACATAAAAAATAGGATCAATATTTCTCGGTATCAATTAATAGAAATGATAAGCATATTTATGGCTATCACAAAAGACAATACGACTAATTTCTATACAAATTATAGCATAACTTTGATGAATTAACAGTAAATGTTTTTATTTGAAATTCGAAAAAAGTTTTATTTAATTGTATTTTGTACAATACATATTTCCACAACAGTTTTTCTAATATATAATACCAATGTTGAGATTTATTTAATAAACACGAATAATAGAAGCATTTACCTCTTCTGTTGGTCATAATAATGTATTTTTTTTTTTAAATTAGGGAATAAAGTATTATTTTTTGATTGTGAGTACCTATATATTTCTGTACACATGATATAAAAAGGATTGATTGTTAACAAAAATACTGGTTGGTATTGTGTTTTTTTTTTTTTTACTTTTTTACCCTCCGAGGGATTTTTTATATTAGATTTTACGATAATGTTTTTTTTATAGTATTCATTTGTCATGAAATAACGAAATATTGAAGTTTACGTAATGTAAAAGCCGGAAATTAAATGTTGTGAAAATTGTTATTATTTACTTGAGTAAATAAACGGATAGTGCGTTATAATGAATGTAAATAATTAATGCGTTTTTGTAGTGGGAGGGAAAAAATCAACGAACGTGTCTTATGTATGTTATATACTTGCAATGATTTATCTAATTATAATATACTTTTAAATTCAATTTCACTGGCTTATCACGTAATTATGTGTAATTAAACTTCACAATATACGAGTATATGATACATTCCACAATTTTTATTACATTTACAATAGTACAACGCGTTTAATTGTGGGTATTAAACACGTGTTTTCATCGCATACCCACGTCAATGCAATATTCACAGTATATTTCGTATTAAGCCACAAACGTGCGTACAACTGAAACGTTTCAAATATCCGACGACGGTGTATTGTATTATATATCATAGACGTTTTCCATTCCAATTATGCGCGTGTCAATGTTTATATGTTTATTCAACGAGACTAATGCACAGAGGAACTGTGCAATTTTTACTAAACATTAATCAAAATCCTACTTGTCGCGATTACATACCATACTGCTATTCAATAATATGTTATATACACATGCTGTATCGACGCGGGAAATTAAATGGAATAAATGGCACTAATGATGACCGAACGCCGCTTCCATTCTAAAATAATACGAGGTCGTGTATGGGATAATATGTAAGAGACGTAAACAATTACAATTATATTTAAAGAGCCGACTGCCTTGATATTATATACTTTACACCGCGTCATTTATATTACATGCGTGTACATACTTGACAAGTCGCTCAAAGAATATTATTGTCTTTACATAGTGTAGCGTACGATAAGTGAATTCCGTTCGGTCCTTCCTATGTGCTTGCTCGTTCCTCCCGAAACAATAATATAATCTTATGCACACTAAACAAAGATTCTCAGCGAACTGTTTGTTCGTCTTATCGATTTATTTTATTTTTTATTCTCGTGGTTGCTAGCTTTTTGACAATATCTTTCGTTATCTTGTAGGAGAGAGGGAGAGGGAGTGAGGTATAGAGGGAAGAGAGAGATAGAGAGAAAGAAAGGCGATAGACGTCGAGGGATATTTGAGGATGTCATGCACGCGTACAAGGACGATGGTGGTGGAGACGAGTTGGGGGTAGGGAGGGTATATCGTGTACATACATATATATATATATATATTATATGTACTGAAAACGGATCTCGACCGAAAAAGCTGCACACGGATTGTGTGAGCTGCAAACAAACTTTTGACAATGTAATAAAATCGTATTATACACCTCCGGTCTTGATTGCCACCACCACTACTACCACCGCCACTGCCTTCTACTCACCACCAATCGCTCATGTACATTTACCCTTCCCTCCGTTACACGAACGCGTGCCCGCACACTCCCGCTCTGCATACCGTCAAACAGTCCGTCACGACGGTGACAAACGGTTTACAAAACGGTAAAACCGTTTGCGTGGACTAATAATGATGATGATAATAGTAATGACAATACTAACAATATTATTAAAATTATAATAATTAATGTTTGTTTGCAGCGATTATTACTTGACGGTCAGTCGCACGATTGAAATTATTGTTTCGAACCGTCCACCGTCGTAATCGCGCGGCGGCGACAACATATTACATTATTTACATATTTACGTATAAAACGGCCACAAACGTTATAATATAAGTGACTAATGTACGCACTGCGACGGATGGAATTAAACGGGACCCAAATTATAATCTATACTTACGTTTCAATTTAATTGCTTGCCCGCAGCGCCTTTTCCGAATTATTAAGCGAAATAATATCGTATTTATGTATATGCTGCAGCAGGTACACCTTCGTCGTATAATTATTACTACCATGGAAAAGCAACGCACCGAAATCTAGGACGCGGGTGGTGTTGACGAATATTGTATTACGCGCGGCTACCGGCTTAACTCGAGCAATCGTTTCCTGTCAAAAATTTAATTATTCCGGGGGTAAATAAATTACGTTTAAAACACCAAAAATAAAAGGTCATACATTTTCCCGATTCATGTGTATATTCATGTATTCAAGGATATGAACGAGTGGGTGGGTTAATCGTGCATGTACACGTCAGCGTGTATGCGTCTACAATTCGTGTGCAGCATAATATAGCTCATAATAATAATATTCGTTTTTATAATAAATATATAACTGCCGATGTATGCAAATTTTAATTGAAAAAGAGTAATTGATAAAACGATTTATCGAACGTAATAACAATAATAATAATAATAGTACGGAGACGATAAGATCAACATACTGCAACAGTGCAACTCGTACGCCTTCAAATTCCGTCAATGCCTGAAACAAATTTATCGTAATTATTTTTCGCGATTCATCAAGTCTCGTGTTGGAATTCACGAAAGACAAAGGATATTGATGAAATTCTTATACGATAACGACTGCGGTTGTAAACACGGAATCCGCTAAACTGTAAAACTATACATACATATATATTGTGCTGACATGCTGCGGAACGAGCAGAATAATGACAATGCATAAATTCATAAATATGCGTTTGTATGCTTCCGTGTCGTTTTGGGTTGTATATTTTCTACTTTCAACAAAGAGAGAGAAAATAAAAGTATAATTAATAATTGTCTACCCTTGTAAAACAGTTGAAACTACTAAGTCCGTGTACACGTGTTCAATACAATAAACAGTGACCACACATGACACGGCAATTATTATAAGTGAGGGTTTAATCTTATACTTGTGGATGAAAAGTTTCCGAGACAAACGAAACGAATTGAACGTTTGAATTTGAAAATCTAGGTTTTGTGTTTATTTATTTTTATTTTTTTATTAATGATTGTTCGTTTTGTTTTTTCCTTTTATCAATATTGCTCTACCTAAAGGTATTTCGAAAATGTTAATAGACGTTCATGTTTTGTAAACGTTCTGTTTATTGGACGTCTCTGTGGTGTGATTGTTTTTAATGGTCGAAACGATTAATATTATAAACATCCATTATTTTATCATTCTATTTTAAACTAAAATTTATGTTATAAGTTTCTAGGCGTTTGTTTCCAAACGATGGTAAAGCTTAATTTATGGTCATGTATACCGTACAATTGAAAAATCGCTGAAAATAAATACGCCATTTTTGTAAGCGGAAAACAACGTGCGTGTTTAACTATTGCAATTAGAAGTGAATGGTTAATTTGTTGAGTCCTATACTCCTATATTGTCGTATTAATTTCGATGACGTCGTTGGGCCGACCAACGAAATTTGGCACTCTTTGAAACGAATTCACGAATTTTCCGTAACAAGTAAATACACCTAAGAAATTTGTCTTATAGCGGTGAAATACCATACGCATATGAACAGTGTGTGTGTGCGTGTGTATATCTTAAACAGTATTGATTGGGTGACAGCCAATGGAATATAAAATTAAAATAGCTAACAAAACGAGGAGAAACGTTACCTGCAAGGCTGTGTTAATATTTTTTTTCTACATATTTCGTACGGAATATTTTTACATTTCTGTTTAATTACCGATTATTTTTATGTGCGAGTTTTTTGTTTTATATTTTGGCACATAAACATGCATAAAACAATACGTAGCGCGTTGGCGCATTCCCAAATACCCACCGGAGGAGTAACAGTAGTAACACACACACACACACACACACACACACACACACACACATATACGCGCGCGAATGATTAACTTTTAGAAAACTAATGAAGTCTGACACATAGACTATAACGTAACTAATCTGTTTGTCTTAAATTTCTGGAATAACTCGAAAACATTATTTAGAACACTCGTCGGCGGAATAGCTTATGTTTTGACGGCGGTCGTTAAGAGTAAAACATCGTGAATATATTTTATCGAGACATTTCGCGTTTGAATCGATACAACAGTGTACATGTTTAACGCTTTTGATGTTCGTATCCGGTAAAACGTCTAAAAAAAAAATTAAACCGAATGAATTCTGTATATAGAGACGTAGCTGAACGGCGTAATATCGTTCGTATGATTACGATCGGGGAGGATAATATTCTTCGAAACGTCCGTTTTAAGTTGCGATTTAATTATTTCCATAACGTTCGAGTAATGTTCAATCGGACGGATGCCCATACTCCGTACATCATACATCACGGACATAATAGGCCACTTCAATCATACTTGCGAGCCACGAGTATTTGTTCAACGCTCACGACGTGCACATAAATGTCGAATAAATGCTGCTCGTAACAGTTATGCGCACCAACGTTTGCACAACATTGCAGTACATAGCTGATTAAATAATACGCAATATTTTACGAACGCGTTTTTATAGATATTGTTGCGACGTAACGTTTTGAGATCACCGTCCTAATTGTAATACGAATTTTTTATTTATTTTTTTTTTTTTTTTCCAGGAAAATGTTCATTGGCGGTCTTAGTTGGCAGACTAGTCCAGGTAAGATTTAGACTGTTATTATTTTATTATTATTTACGTTTGCAACGCATGTGTTGTTATTGTTGTTAATGGAGCCGAGACAAAAATTATATTGGCCGAATTGTATGATTTATTTTTATTCTCAAACAGAAGCACGTTCGTGCTTTACCTCTGATACCACAACACTACGGTATATACAAAATGTAGGTGGGTGTACGGTTCATAATTATCAAATAAATGGTTAATGCACGTCTGTCACGAGTCATGAGTAAATATTATAATATTATTATTATGCGCACGGGTGTCGTCGTTTATAGCAACCGCTGAGATCAAAATGTTTGCGTTTTACAAAATTAGCCGCTCTGAATCCCATGCGTACCTGGGTCTTGTTGAAATCCTCTTCTCACCGACAAACCATAAGTAAACTAGTTTGAAAACAAATTTAAAACGTATACCTCGGTAGTAAATATTATTATATTAATACTCGTTTACGTACATTTTTCAACAATATTCGTACTCCCCGAACGAAGATATTTTATATCTTACGACGATATAATTGTTTGTGCTCCGCAAGTATAATAAAGACTAGGATTTAAATTTGACTTTGTATCGTACGTAGTGTTTAAACAATATTTAATACAACTGGTTTTTATTTTTCGTGTTTTTTTTTTCTTTTAACCACTCGCGGCGGAGAGATAGAGTTTTTGAAAATATATTCAAGAGCGGACTTTGTTTTTATTACGAGGATACGAGCCAAGTGTGAAAGTGAAAAGTGCTAACGAGGGACAATGTTCAAGTGGTCGTAATTGTAAATTGGCTGCTCAAAAAGGATCGGAAACACAAAATCGGATTTGAAAATGAAAAAAAGACTCGTCTTTTTAATACGGTTTAGGTATACATACGGATATACTTCAAACGACGTGAGGTATTTTTCGTTTATTTATTTTTTTGTGTTAAAACACACAGTTGGCTGGATTTCACGCGAAAAATATTCAAACGATATCGACCGCGGATACTATTTGTACACTTAACTACACTTCACGCTTCCTCCGCGGTGCCGTTCTACCTTCAACTATCTATAGCACACTGTAGCATATTATCATTTTTGTATCGTTCATCGATCAGATCCAATACATCCGGATCTCTATACGCGAACGCGGTACAATACTTAACGACTGCAATATTTTTATCATTTATTTTATTTTTCAAAACTCTGTGTCTAATCCGTTTACGTCTAACGACCGTGCGTGGTGAACTATGTTACTTGGCTAGCATTCAGAACGTTTTCATTAATGCGATGCCGCCACCGTCGCCGGTATCTTGAACGCGCGCGCACGCGTCTGTGCCCTATTCCCGTTTTCCGTTTTCTGTAAATAATTGTCTCTCTTGTCGTTCGGGAGAATAATCGAAAAAAAAAATAAAAACAAAGCGTATATTATATATTGTACACATATGCGACGTGAAACAACAATATAAAACACAAGATATCGAGGATGGAGAACAAATAACTCATTACAATCGTAAAGCGACGGACGTGTTCGGAATAAAGCGTAGCGGCAGCGTCGGCATCGTCGTTGTCGACAGAAGGGGACTATGCGTGCGGTGTCTTCACGTCTGACAAACTACTTATATCTGTAATAAGAATATGTAAAATATTACGTGTAGTCGTATATGCCAAAACGATCGGGCTGTACGGCGTCCGGTAAGAGAAAGAGAGAAAAAGAGAGACGCTGTGTCGGTATGATTGTTTTTACCTTAGAAAATTAGAATATTACGGTTTACGAGTCACACCGTATACAATAAATCGGTGTATATGTACAGAGTGCTCTTTCTCTTTCGCGAACTACATACATGTCGGAATAATACGAATATTCGTGTATTATTCTAACTGGAATTTGTTTACGATATTTTCGGAGTAGACGAGAGCGATCTAAGAATAGATAAAAACTTATATACACTTATCTACAGCATCGCAGCTTTTGGTATTTCTTACAAGATTTTTATCTAGAATACAAAACACGCATCACTCATATCTTTTAGATCGAATTGGTGACAAAAGTTTCGTCCTGTGTGCAATAATATATATATATATAGGTATATATTAAAGTCTTAACAATAATATATACACCTGGTGACAACGATTTCTCTAATTTCTTGTTGTCACGACGAAAATTACGCGTCTCAGCCGCAGTGGATCCCCAAGCGCGGAGGCGGCGACGCTTCAATAATATTCGCTCACTGGTTACAGGTATATTTCATGCATAAGTATACATATTTTTATATTTCGAAACACAATGTTGATATAATAACATTCCGTCTATTACGGCGTGTCCGTCAATTAACCCACCACTGATGGGGTGACGTGATTGAATAGTTCGAAACGAATCGGGTGTCGTACGGACAAAAGATTGAGATTTACGATTTATATTATAATATTATATATAACGATATACGGCAATATTATAGTATAACTTGTAACGAACGTTATCGACGGTCAGGAACGCACAACCGTCGTGCAATCGCTATGTGATGTACAGCACACTACGGACGCGGTAATGTATTCTGGACCCGCATAACATTAAACTAATATTTCTCTAAACAATATTATAGTTTTTCATCAGCTCTACACGTGATGTGTTGTCATGCGTGTGATATTAAATTATAATTAATTATATTCGTGATATAATATATCGTGTCGACGAAGTGCTATGCGCGCCAATGGTCCCGTTCAATGACAAAACCCGTGAAAAAACAATCGGTTTTCAACCGTTCTATTATCGCCATACACGATTACCTTACCATTGCTGCAGGTCAGGGATGGGCAACTCAAAGTTACTAAAGGGCCAATTTTTAAAAAATTAAAATCTAGCGGGCCAGAGCGTAGGAAAAAAAAAAGGTCATTCAAAATAGGAATTTTAATTAGCATTTATATACTTGGAAATAATAAATTCAACACACTCGACAGTACGATACGAATGATACGAAGAAACTGATATAGTTAAATAGTTCGGTATAAACAGCTATGGTTGAAAGCTATACTTATACAAAAATATGACATTTAGACATTTCACGATGTTTAACACCAAATAACAATTATTATATCGATAAGTTAGAGTATAGACGATAAAGTTTAAAATGGTTTGAAGTAATTTTAAAACATAGGCCATATAAAAAAGGCTTGCGGGTCGCTAGTTGCCCACGCCTGTTATAGTATAACAACATCGCAGCTCTTTTTCGCTTAATTTGACGTTTTATCACTTATGTTTTGTGATTCAGCATTGAATGCGAAATAGCGTTCGTTTTATTTATTGTAATACTAACCGTTGATCCCGCGTGAAATCAATGTTTGACATACGATCGACACGTGTTAACTGCGCAAACTCACACGAGGTATTTGGCAGAGTTTCTAAAGTGTTGGGAGGGGGGGGGAAAGAAGAGTAAAAATTAAATGTTTCGACGCGTGCAGCGTACATATTAACGTAGAAATGAAGCGGAACGATCAGCGTGAACAAAAAATAAATTGAAAAAGGTAGTAGTTTCGAGACGAACAAAATAAATAATTTAATTAATATTCGTCTGGAACAAATAAATTGACGAGGTTGAGTATAATATATGAATTCTGAAACGTCGGTTAACGAGAATAATTCATAAAAAACATACATTTATAAGAAGAAGAAAAAGAACAAACCTTGGTGGAATAAATTCTATTAAATTTCAGCAGAATAGATCTATAATTTATATAGGTCCAATATTTTAAAGACTAATTAAGTCATGTACTTCACTCGAGGGACGAGTTTCGTCCACTATTATTTGATTCCATATCAATACTAAAAATATTTTCAACATGATAAACTTTAAGTTTTAAACATTAATTTTACTGTTCCAAAATTTGAAGCCATCAAGCGGTGCAAATTAAAGCTGATACACGAACCTTATAAGTATACTTGGTGGCTATACTGAATTAAATGTATAAACTTAAGAGTTGTTGCAATTACTTACGCTGGGTAAATAATTTATTAAATTCTACAACAGATTGCTCCAAATATTGACCTCGATTCTTTTGATGTTCCTATATCATTTAGCGTTTAAATTTTAGATTCTATGTTAGTACAAGCAAATTGTGTTTGTACCTTTGCCATAGTAAAATGTACATGTTGATTTTATCGCATATGAATATAAGTTTAGAAGTAAACTAAAATCATTCGATTTCTTTTTTTAGATAAAAAAATAACTTGCATTATAAATAACCATAATTTTTCATAACTTTGTCTTGATATAATATCTGTTATACTATACACTATATGTCTTGTTTTCTGTGATCTGAGGGTGTTTATAATTCAATCATAATACATTTAGAACCGCGAATACACGATGTGCGCACGCAGTGATATATAAGTTCCTGGGTGAACTAATGATCGCAAATGAACTTGGTAATAATTAATCCGTAACTAGATAACGAAGCTACATGATTTTACACGTTTATAATGGATGCTGTGCCGATCTGATGAATTTTGGGCCTCAATGCAGAACTTTGCGGAGCTCCGTATATTTTAATAAATTAACTCTTAGATGATATTTGGAATCTAGATTATAATCAAACTTTAATCTAAGATTTTCAACAATATTTTGAGTAATAATTTATTATTGGATATGGTTAAAAAATTATTATGTAATAATTAAACTTTTATTTTATAAAAAAAAAAAATAAATACCACTTCAGTTCAGTAAACAATGAACATATTTTTTCTTGCTTTTTACTGCGAATATATATATATATATATATATATATATATATATATATATATATATCAATACTATCAGTATAGCTCAAGGAATCGGCTATTTTATGTTCGACGTTGACAAGAGCCAGGATAGACTTTTAAAAGGATAGAACTTTTATTGTGATAGAGCGCGGTGATATAGGATTGCGTACGATTGTCCCTTTTAGTAGCACGATTGCGTAAGTTTGTACTATTGCTTACGATTTCTTTACTTAGCCCTTAAAAACATTACGATTGCGT